AAATTCCACAAACTGGGCGAGTTCGTCTAGATAATGCGAAATGAAAAATAATCTCCAACCTTTTTTGATCTTTCTCCGCAGTGCCTGACTTACCTGCAAGGCGGGAGTTTGCGGAGACTGCCGCTAGATTCAATTGCGAGGTTTTTAGCTCGCCTATCATCAGTGCGATTGTTACCACCCGTGACCTACTAGTAGCGAGTGATGCTTAACTAGGCGACACTTCGGCATCTCGAATCAAGGGATCCGATCTACTGGTTCCCAGTGGATCTCGGTACCGTACCTCGTAATAGTTATACACCTTGATTAGGAAAGTATCCATGGCACAACACATGGGAAACTCCCAATCTTCCATCTTGTCTAATTGCTAGACGCACACCGCTTTGCTCACTCTGAACGGGCTGGGGCAAATTTACGCCAGCTCTTTGCCTGCCCTGGCATACTCGCACCGAGTTCATATTTTGTAGGTCACAAGCTTTTTCATGCTCGGCGCCAGAGCACCGTTTTATGCTCCCCTACGTCTTTATCACTTGCAAAAAGATAGACTCTTCCCTTCTTTCCACCAGCCTTGATTCTGGTCCGTTGACGTGACGCCAGGCTACCCAACATTACACAGTGTGTCGCAGCGTTGCTCCCAAGCACCCAGTAGCTGCTATGACTACTATCAAATGTTGTTGCCAGTCCAAAAAGCTTTGAAAAAGAAGACAGGTAAAAAATGGTGACATGGTGTTCATGTCGGTGGTGCTTCATCGCCAACGTCTCGAGGTGATCCTCCCCCTAGTATCACCTTCAGTGCCCGGCTGTGACAGGCTGGAACTGAATCTCGGCCAAGTGATCGCAGCCAGCTACCTAAGATCGCCGATGATCAAATCCTCCGTCTTTTCCTTCCCTTCGTCTCAGCACCAGCAGAGCCTCCCGGTGTGACAGGAGCTGGGTTTGCTTCGGCGGAGTCTGGCGGTCCCTGGCTCACATCTTCGGCTGATAGTTTGACGATCCGGAGCTCCATCAAGTCTTGATACTCGGTATTTCCGAGGCATACGCGTAGTGGCATTTCAGGAAGGGACTGAAGCTTTGATTGAGCGTTATCCGCTCTCCTTCTCCACTCCTTGTGTTTGTCTTCCCATGTCTTTAGAGATTTGGTGACCTTGATAGTGAGATCTTGTCCACTTTCGTCTCTATTCCTGTCGTAGTGATGTGGGAAATGCCAAACAAAACGGGAATCCTGATCTTTGGGAATGGTGAAACACCGCTCTTTTTCGCTTGGATTTTCCAGAAACTCACGTACAATAGAGCAATGAGGACAATTTTTCCGATCACACTTGCCTATGTCGTCGGGTAGGGACCAATTGTGCGGTTTTGGAGGCTCCTTCTCCACCGCCCTCTCAATATATGTAGGGATAGCTTTGGCGTAGAACAGAGAAGCCTCAAGGGGCTGAATTTTGGTGATGTCGACCAACTCGTGCAGGAGTGGAATAATGAAGCGGTCAAGGTCGTCTTGCTGGATTGTCGCAGTGTCATTTGCAATCTTTTCAAGTAGCTGTCCCGCCTTAGTCAAGTCTTCTCCTGCAAGTCGTCGATAAAGAGACACGACAACAGTGACGTCCTTCTTGCTTAATTCGTCACGAATTGACCGAGAGGACTCTGACCACGACGAAAATGGGAAGTCCTCATGCTGAAGTCTCGACTTCCTATATGACGAAAATTGGTGCAACTGAAAGGAAGACATAGCTGCATCAAAGATGGGCGAAAGAAGATGTTCCACCACGTCAAATTTTTGCGCCGTTTGAGCGTAGCAAAGGGTCTCCACGAAGAGCGCGCTTACGAAGGCTGTCTCGTTCACAAAGCGCCTAAGGAAGGTATCCATGCTATTTGAGCGAGAGTTAGCCAACATCCTAACAAAGACAACATTAGACCTCAGTCAAGGAACTCACCATTTCCAGAGCCTTGTATCCCCATAGGTATCCATGATCTGAACCACAGCTCCCGCATCCTGGGGAAGAACTTCTGTGATCGAATTCAAAGCCTTGCAAAGGGTTTCCACTGCCCATTGGTGAACGGCGCTCTCTAATCTTCCTTGAGAGTCAGGTTCAGCAGAGCCAGATCTTACACCGGAGCGGAATGCTCGAAGGCCACGATCAACTAGGTGCAGTTTCGAAATCCGAGAAAACGCCTTCGTGGAACTGGAATATCTTAGTGGAGGGTATAAACCGGTTTACAGGCAAGCTTACAAGTCTTTCGTTTTGTCGAATCCCAGCATGGCAAGGTTCCAGAAGGTGGACTTGTCGAAGCTTTCCTCCACAGCATCAAGGGCTGTATTGGCTAGCTCAAGGTTGTCGATGCGTAGTAACTCTATCGCTGTGGGGCCCAAGAAACCATCTTTCTGGCGACTGTCTCGGTACCGCATTTGAAGATGCCTGTTGCATGTCTGTTCGATCATTTCACGAAAGAGGGAATGTTCACCGTCGTTCTGACCCTTGAGGTTGACAAACAGTCGATCAAGGAACTTTGAGTAGTGTTCAACCTTATAACCACTACCAAGGAGGAACCTGGTCATCTGGTCTCGACGAACAATGACAACGACCTAGACTGATTGTGAGTGCTAGGTCGACTTCAACTCGGCGCAGGACGTACAGCATCATGGTAAACTTGGAGAATTTCAGCATACTGATTGCCCAAGTGTTCGCCTCCCCATTGTTCGTCACGGTCACGGTTTGCATAGACAGATTGCTGGACGAGGCAGTCATCCGATATCTTCAGGGAATCTTGAAGCTTCGTGCCCTGTAGAGTGACAACATTATTTAGGCAGAGCTCTTCGTCCCCTTCTTCCCTGCAATCCTCATCATTGCTTCGGCTCACAGTCAGTTGCAGCCGGGATAGGAAAATACAAAAGCGACCATTTGACTGGCAAGCTCGTTCAAGCTGAGAGCAACGGTAATAGTCGTCACCTTTCAGACAGCTCAATCGAAGCCCTGCGCCGGTATACTTGTGTTCAAGGACATAACACATAAACTGTGGTTGGTCTTGCATGGAATACCATTCGGTGAGCACCCGGTCGATGTTGGATTGTTCAACGTCCAGTACAGCAGCTGAGAGTTGACGTGGAACAGTGGCGTTGATGAGGTTGTATGTTAGAACGAATCGACAACCTGATTTAACTGGCAATATCTGTACCAATGAGTTGCAATACAAAACCTGATCGCTGTAATGCCCTTACCTCATGTGATACATCACTATACCTTCAAAGACAAATTAGCATGAGAATATGTTGGACGAGGTGCCGGGATTACCAAGCCAAATAAGAGACACCGTAAGAAGACCACTTGTCTGTCTCGAGAATTGTCTCTTCTTCTCCATGAATCAAGCGCACTGCGCCGCCAGTGTGCTCCGACGGTAGGCAAACAACCAGGGTTCCAAACATGTTCTTGGTCTTCTCCGTACTACAGGAGGTTAGTAACTCTGTAAATTGTCAGGCTTCGCACTCGGGACGTACTCTTTGTGAGGTTTGAAGAAGGCACCCTCCTCATACACCAATAGTTTGTAAAGCTCAGCTTGTACACTGCCAGCACCCCCAGGTATACCCAAGCCGCTGGAGACATGTTCGAGAATCTGTTCAAGCCAGGTATTCCAACCTTTGTTTTCGAATGACAATTCTTTTCCGTCGATCTCCCAAGTCTTCCTCACCGTCTCATCCACCAGCGTCTCCCCTCCCTTGCCAAAAGGTGCTTGACGGCTCACTCGAATAAGAGCATTGGCATCTTCACGAGATAAGGGTAGTCTGATAGGACCGACACCTTTGACGGTCAGACCAGGAAGGATGTGCTCGACGTTGTGGTCAGATGTTGCGAAAGACCCCGAGCTATGTATTCCACGAAGACAACCCCGGATTTGAGATCTCAGGGGGTCGTAGGGTTGCTCTTGCTCTTGCTCTTCGTCGGAGTTATATTCGGAGCCATACTCGTAGCCATCTTCGGAGCTCATGGCTGCGAGGGACAATATCAATGCACGCCCTGGACTGGTAAATAACCAGGAGTGAATGAGAAAAAGTGAGAAGAAGCTTGTGGGTCAGAATAGAGGGAGAGGAGAGGAGAAGATGGGATTTTGACGGCATGAGCAGGAAAGCTGTTTGTTTCAGGGACCGAGACATTTAACAAAGCGATCGTATCCACATTCCACATTCCACATTTCACATTTCACATTCTTGTGTATGGTTCAAGGAAATAATTTGTACATGGACGGACCCACGCATCGGTCGCGACATGTTGTTTGGTGTTTGATCCTTTCTAACCAACCAAAGGAAGTGACCAAGTTTGACAGCCAGGCAGCCGCCAGGCAACATCAGGCAACCTCGTCTCCAAGGTCCTGTCACGTCCAGGCCGAGATGGTGAAGCCATTGCCTAGGTTAACTATAGTGGATGGTGAGTTATCACTTTGATCGAAAGATCAAGTCATCTCTAGTGGATAGATGACTTCCTTAGACCTCCATCTACGCTCACTTTGTCACATTCCAGTGCTGAACCAATACGCAGTCAGCAGTCTTTCACGACAATTTCACCACTTAAATACCCATCAGCATGTACACTTGAATTTCAAGGGTTGTGATCATTAAGGCAGATTATCCATACGGTCATATCACAGCCTGTTGTCAGCTCGAGACCGGATATGATGATAGTGCCAGGCGAAGAGAGATAGGGGACACTTTTGCACTGGGCTGGGCGTTGCCATCTGGCCTGGACCAACGTGGTAAAGGACAATTTGTGAAGATTTTATCATGAGCATGTCAAGTACCTCAGTGTCACCTTGGTCTGCAGTGAATGACACACTGGCACTTGAAAAGATAAATTCACTTTCTGTTGGTAGAGATAGGTTCTCAGGGTATATAAACCACACAGATTCTTGCCCACGTTTCAGCTTCTACCATAAACACAATAGACATTTCTGTCGCTGGCGATCAAACAACCCCTCAACACGACAATAGCTCTCAGCTGTATCGAAACTTCATCAACATGGAACTCATCTTGCTCCCGGTCCTCCTTTTCTTGCTGGCTCTCGCCAATGCCACGGCAATCCCCTCATCTCTCTTGGGTGTTGAGACCATTGTCGATCTGGCAAAACGCAACGAAACCTCTGGCTCAGCTGCACTCGCCGATCCTCTCACCTTCAACATCAGTCCTAATGCCGTCGGTCCTCCGTGCGGAATGACCTGGGAAGTCAACATCAATGTCAAGTCTCGTGGCTCCATCGGCGATACCAGCACCTCCTGCAACGCCTTGTACAACTATGTCACCTTGCCGTCCTCGTCCGTTTCTCAGACCATCAGCAAGGATGTCAACTTCGTTTACCTCTGTCCTGACACACCCACACCGATCGTCCCCGAGGGGTATGGGTACCGCGACATCAAGTTCATCGTCAAAGGAGGGTCAGATTTCCCGAGCACTCAGAACACATTCTTGGCCCAGTTGCAGGTCTTGAACATCAACAACAGTCCAGAGACGGATATGAACATGCCGGTTAAGATTGGATACACCGTCACCAACAATGCGGACCCGTTGAAGCAGCTCAACTTGCAGTACATCTATTGTGGTTGATGTCCCACCAGCGAGGATAGACACGACCAAAGGTAGTGAAGACACAAAAGCAAAGCTTTGAGTACAACTTGGAAATCTTTCAACTGGCAAAGGAAGCGAAAATGCATACAACTTCGAAGCACTGGATCAATAGGTCCTTTTGCTAGGGGGTACATAGCTGGTGACATGAGCTCGAAACTGGCGTTGACTAGACATTACAGTGGATTTTCTGATTGCGCAGTCTCGGCCGATTAAACGAAATACATTTGCATCAAGATCGATGTCTCTCTCAATGAATATTGTTCGATTCATGTGCAAGCTCATCGCGGATGGACGTCAACAATAACTAAGGTGCTAGGCAAGCTATTTGTAATTAGGTGATTTCAACCCCCTCCGCACGGGAATGTCTTCCGATCGCCCCAACCACAGCCGTAAATTTCGCACATCGTGTTTCTCCGCATCTTCCTTTTGCCTGGCCTCTCCGACACTCCCTCTTCACGCACCCTCGATACACCTACGCTCCTTTAGAGCATCCCCTCGACATACCCGAGGGAGCTTCATCATGGCAGACCGAAAGTCCGCTTACGGCACCGCTGCCGCCTCCGACACCGACTTCCGCCGCACCTGGGATCGCAGCGAATACGAAGCAAAGGCGAAAAAGGAACAAGAAGAACGTCGGGAAGAAGCCAAAGCTCGCTATGAAGCCAAACTCGAGGGCAAGAAATGGCACAAGCCCGTGGATTTCTCCTCCCTGGAGTCCACGACTGCGCGTGGTTCGAGGTTGGACGTGGCGAGCATGGTCGGAAAGAGCACGATTGTACCTGCAGGCGCGAGAGTCGGGAGGCGGGGAAAAGGTGCAGGATTTTACTGCGAAGCCTGTGATTTAACATACAAGGACAACGTCCAGTACATTGAACATCTGAATTCGAAGCAGCACCTGATCAACACGGGGCAGTCGGGACAGGTGAAACGAGCGACGCTCCAAGATGTTAGGGAGAGGTTGGAAATGCTCAAGGCGCGAAAGAGGCAGCAGGAAGAAGAGGCGAAAATGTTGGGCGAGCTCGACATTCAGGCGAGGATCAAAAAGGCTGAAGAAATTGACGCGGCAGAGCGAGAGGAGAAGAGAAGAAAGAGGAATGAAAAGAGGAGGGCGGCCAAGGAAGGCAAGGGCGTCAAAAAGGAGGATGAGTGGGAGGGACGGCTGGGAATCATCTCTTGACCTGAACGGCATGAAGCCATGCCTCGAATACTATTTCATGGCAGATCATATTCCGCATGATGGTCACAATGAGGAACGGTCTCCTCAACAGCCACTCGACCTGTATTGAGTGCGTCCACCTCGACCGCACTGTCACCAGTTCTTCTCCGAATCAAAAATGTACAAGCGGACAAAGCTATCAGCAACGATTCGGCGCCGTCTTTGCTACAGCATCTGAGTTGGGCTCCATCGAAAGGAATCCTGTTTGATGGAGCGGGTGCCCGCTTGTCCACAATCACACGGCTGGAGTTTGTTTTCCTTCACCAAGTCCTTGAAAAGAATGAGAGGATACGAACTCGCAGCATGAAGCACGACAAAAATCGACCAACACGAATCACTCGTTTGCGTTGGGTACATCGCTATCCAAGGCATAGATGTCTCCTACGCGACAGGGGATCGCCCAAAGCCAACGACTAGGCTATTTGACTGCGGTCAGGACTCCTGCAAGTACCCCGACCTCGTCATCAAACATCAAACTCCAGACTAATGTCCTCTTGGCGGTTAAAGTCTCGTGTGACAATGTCTCGGGCACGAGGATTGTGGACTGTAGCCTTGCCGAACAAGCAGCGCCGCCGGCTGCGGCTCATGAGAACATCGAACCTGAATATCCTGACGTCATTGGCTGGATGTTGGATCCATCATGGATCGATACAGCCTCGCCGAATAACACGACAGAATCTTTGCAAATACCAATTACCACTCTATGGGAGACGTACCCAACAACCTATAGGCAAACCCTCAATTTGACAGGGTTGCGCAATGTAGACTTGCAGCTTTTTCAATGACCAAAACAAGAGAAACTGTCAAAACTGCTTGGCAGCATCACCGACATCGCAATCCACGAGTGACGCATACATTGTCCTCGATCATCATGCGCCCGCATTTTCTCTTCTGATCGAGCATCCCGTGTCTCGTGGAAACCCCACATCGCGATCAGTGACAAACCCTCTCTGCCTTTCAGATCTCCAATGGTTAGACGTGAATGCGGTGCCCCGTCTCTTGCCTTACCATCATCGACGTCACTTCTCCTCGGTTGAGTTGGTGGAGGTATCTGTTCTCTAGGAGGTATTTCAGTGCCTCTCTGCCTTTGTGTTTACTTCATCTTCTGTTTACTCACGATTCATTCTCAGATCCCCTCAAACCTCCAACTTTGACTTACCAACATCAACGACCGCATCCTTCCAAACAACATGGCTGCCGATCCGTATGTCCCTGCCCACTCCTCTCCTGCTCCACAGCTCAGCTCAGCTCAGCTCAGCGGGCGACCAAATCCATCTCCCCCCCCCCCCCCCCCCCTTCACTCATTCCCCTCCACCATGACCACTTGACGTTTTCAAGAGGCGAGGCAAAGAACTGACTCATGTTCCGGGCAAAACACAGGTACACGGCCAAGAACAAAGACGAGCCAGGCCTCGAGGAGAAGATCAATGCCCTCAACGACTTTGTCAGATCTTCCAAGTTTGGCATGATGACCACGCGCATTGCGGACTCTGGTCTGTTAGTCTCGAGGTGCATGGCCCTCGCAGCTCAGGTGTGTGACATATCCGAGATCCTCGCCACCAGCCTTCCTCTGGACACCCTCCCCATGAATCCAGCACGAGCGGATAAAAGATTGGACGCAGAAGGGAAGCAAAAGCATATTACTGACCACCATGGGACCATGGGACAGGAATCCGGCGGAGTCGATCTCCTCTTCCACACAAACACCGAGTCCGGCAAGACATCGGACCTCTCGTCGGACGAGCACGTCAACATGTCCTTCCTGAATTCATCCGGCAGCTGGGCCTCGATCTCCGGCACGGCCAGTATCATCACGGACCGCGCCACTGTGAAGAAGTACTACACGCCCACGCTAAAGACCTGGGTTGGTGACCTGGGCGACGGCCAGCACGACGGCAGCGAAAACGACCCCCGCATCGGCATCATCAAGATCAAGGCCCTCACGGCGACGTACGCGCTCCCCAAGGGGACCATGCTCGGCAGGGGCGTCGAGATGGTCAAGGGCGCCGTCACGGGCGAAGTGGCCAACGTCAACGAGCTGCGCGAGATCAGCGAGCAGGAGTTGCAGCAGTGGCGCAGTTCACACTAGAACGGGGACTTGGACCTCTTCACACATATGAGCACGTGCACTGTTACTCAACCTAGTTTCCCTTCCAGCCTCTTCTTCTCCACTATGCCTCATATGGCGGAGCTGGATCATTGAGCTGGCCAGAGCCCAGAAATGGACATTTGTACAAATTACAGAAAGAAAAAAAAATAACAGTAAAGACGGATGGTCTTGGTGAGACTGGTCAGGTCAGGCCAAAACCACAGACAGAATCAAGGAAAAGCCAAGTCAAACATTTTCAGGTGCCTTTTTCATTTCATTTCTTTTCTACAATGTAGTGTAGCGAAGAGGAGATTTTCTTTCCTTTTGCACTCCCTGTCCCCTTCCTTTCCATTTCACTATCATTTTTCGTGACTGATATTTGCACAAATCCCATGCAACTCGCTCGCTTTTCCACGTTTTCTTCGGTTGGTTGGTTCGGTTTGGTTGAAGGTGGTCCTTTTTCCATTCGTCGGCAGAATCCCTGTCCCTCTTTTTTTAATGTCTCTCACCCAATCCATCTCGCTCGCTGGTCCCGGATTGCACCACCACCACGACGACGAACGAGAAAAGCAACACGGCCGACAAGTCAAAAACACGCGTAATGATACACACTGCAGAGAAGAAGAGAGGAAATGGGGGGGTATCCGTCAGTCTATGTACATGTACAAGAAAATCTCAGCCGTGCGTGCCGTGTATATTCAAACAAAGGTGTAAAAAGCCGGAGGTCCACGAGAGCGCCCGTGCTGCTTGCGAAGTTTATGTTTGCCAGATCGTGGAATTGGGTCGGAAGGATATTCGTATGAGTGGTCACTTTTAACAAGATCGCTATCCGGAGATGAGTTCTTTCAAGCATGTTGCAGGCAATCGAGATGGGCGATCGTAGTCACGAAATCCGATCAAGGTTGTTTGTCTCCTCTCACCCCATAACCCAAACACCACCCTTTTCAAGGCCACTAGAACGCCATATCCATGCAGTTGTTGATGATTAACACACGTGAAATGAATGACTGGTGGTCTGTTCTGAGGTTCGTAAGAATTGGAGCTGGGCAGGTGCTTGAAAGTCGCCGGTTGGCTCCGACACTGGACTTCGCAGTTCCATCATCGGTCATGGCGCAGCCAGACATGGCACGAACTCTTAGACAAAGTGGTCCATTCTCAGATGAGCTTCTTTCGACCGGCAAAACCGGGCTTGATAGGCGTCAGAGGACACCCACTGCCTCAACAGTGCCTCCAGGGACATAAGTCAGTCGTCTACGGCCGAGAGATCCTTCAACGGAACCTTCGTTCACCGCCAAATCTGCCACGACCACGGTCGTTGAATGATGAGTTATCCTGACCGAACGTGCCCCTGCCAGCGCCGGAGGCACCTTGTCCGAATGGATCGCGTTCGTCATACCTGTCGCGACGACCTCCAGGCCGCGATCTCGGACCAGAACTAAATCCAGGGCCATGTCCGCTTTCCTCTCGGAACGTAAGGCCTTGGACACCACCATATCCTATCTTGTCAGCCCAGCTTCTGGTCACAGAAGGCGGCGAGTCAAGGCCCCATCCGTACGTCGCAAGTTCGTTCACTTGGTTGACAATCTCTTGTCTCGAGGAATTGCCAGACTGGTTGAGCACAGACAACAAGCTCTGGTATGCCTTTGCCTTATCAAGCCTGGAAACTTGCCTGAC